CCCCCCTGCCTGATCAGTTGACCATTCTGCTCCATGTTGTGATTCTTTTGTCTTCATGCTGTGAGATTTAAAACTCTTTGAGACAGGATTCGAGTAGATACAAGCAGTTTATTCCATACAAAAAGCATTTGCAAAGGCTGGCTCAATGCCTCAGTAGTCTGAGAAACAAAGAGCAATCTTTTACTTTTTACAAGAGATTTTACACATTCCTTTCCCCAGTGCTCAACACTATCCCCGCTTTGCCATTGGCCAAGTCACAATCTTCCCCATCCGCCTATATCATACTACTCCTTAATAAGTTTCCCCCTCCTGCTCATACATCCCATGTTCATGCTAATGAGCCTATTACCTATGAGAGGTGTGTCATTTACCTATTAAGCGTGCAAGTACCTTCTAAGAGGTCAACAGGTGGAAGTGGCCTTGAAAATTCTTACTTGATGCCAAAATGTTTCTTAAATCTTGTGGGGAGGATGAGATAATGAGAACAGGCCTTTTTCCAGGCTCATTATCGCCAGTTGTAAAGTAATCCATTGTCTGCTCTCCTCCACTGAAGGTGACAGTTTTACCACTGTCCCCCAATTTTACCCCTTCTGGTATTTTTCAGAACTTTTTATATAAGAAACATTATTAGAACAACCATTTACATGTTTTGATTCTCAGGTTTTTTTTTTTTTTTGCCTTAAGAGACTTCAATGATCCTGTCCTATTCCTGTTTTTCACCCTTAACACTTAGTAACAGTAACATTTCATTTCTCACAATGCTGTTCAATAGGCCAAGCCTCTGCTGTGCCTCTCCAGAATTCTTCAGCCACACTCACACGCTTGTGCATCACCAGCATTGAGAATAATCACAGCCCCCCTCCCCCTGCTCCCACACGCCCCGGGAAAATCTGCCAATAATCCAGTTGTATTCCAGGCTCCCTTTCTGGCCTCACAGATGCTGGCATAACAAATAATCCCCCCCCCCCGCAAAAAAAAAACAAAAAACGCTCCAATCTCACAATTCCAAGGTGCCATTGCGGGTTGCTGTGGCTGGGAGATCCTCTCTAGGTTCTCGCCTCCTGCCCACTGCCGATTTAGAGGCACCTGATTTATTAACTGCCTCGTGTGAGTCTCCACCTTCACTGGGTCTCTGTGCCAGAAGGGCAAATGTCCATGGCCGTGTGCTTGAGGCAGACAGGTAGAGAAACAGCACATTGTCACCAGGGTCATCTGTGCCTGGAAAAATGCTTGTGATGGGTCCTATGTGTTTGCTTCAATTAAATCCAGACAGCACTGAAAAGAAACCTGAAGTGTTTGCTTCCTGTTTGCCTTTTCCCTCTCCCCCGCCCCCTTTTTTGCTATTATAATGTGTGTGCAGTCTTTTAATGCCTCTTTCACCATAAAATCCAAGCCTTACATGTCTTGTATAGCAATTTCTGCAGTTAAGGGTCAGGTAAAATCTGTTGGGTGTAGATAATGGGAGCTACAGTCCTGATCTTCCCTGCTGACACCATCTTGCTTGCCTTAAATCAATCCTAAGGTTCTGCTTCCCTGCAGCATTTTTGGGGAC